GCAGATTGTCTTCTAACACAGGTAACGGAAAGTGTTCACGTTGAAGAGCTCGGTTCAGCTGTTGGGTATCCAAACAGACACGAATGTCGCCTGACTGCTTCTGTGTGATTGCGATCTGGTTGACCCATAGAGTTGGTTCGTCCACCGGTTCAATTACTCCCAGCTTCTGTAGACATTGAAGTCCCGCTGATAGTTTCTCCTTGAGACTGATAGGTATACGTTTGGTTGGCATAATGACAGGCTTGACATCTGGGTCAGTTTTTAAGTGTACTTCCCCTTCAAATGTCCAATTTGGCCGTCAAAAAGTGATGAATATTTTTCAGCGATTGCATGATCATGTTGATGTGATATGGCATTTAACAAATGCCTAGCAGTGGTGTTAAACTTTCCTGAACAGCAACAAAGTTGATTGAGTACAACTTTCCGTTCTTTGGATTAAGAACAACAGTTTGATAGGAGCCCATCGGAGCTAACGGTGTCTTGTTCCACATTACCAAGTGACGATCAGTTTTGGATATTTTGAACTTGTCCGTTACATCCTTCATTGGAAGAATATTTGGAGTTGCTCCTGAGTCGACAAGAAACACTACAGATGTGTTGTCAACCATCATCTGGCACTTGACTGGTTTCTTGAAATTTCTGGTTGCCTCATCATCAATTTCAACAGAGCAGATCCAGTCATCACCATCAGATTCAGAGTCAGTTTGATCCAGTACAGCATTCACTGAGTCAGTCCTTTTGCACTTTACAGCAAAAGGATTCCAACCTCCACACTTGCTTCATTTGGCACTCCATGCAGGACATAATTTCTCCTTCATAGCATGTTGATTTGTCTCTAATACCTAGTACAATCCTGTCTCTCAGTAGTGAAGGAGCACAATTCACACAATAGTTGCATGTCTTTATCAAAGTTCTCAAGTGTGCATGAAATGTTTTAAAAGATTCACCTTCTTTCTGATTTGTAGGCCTACTGTTAAATTTAAAATGTTCATAAGTCTCATTGACTTCACCAACAATAAATTGCTCAAACTTTGTTGTTCTGTTACCACTGTAGACCTTCAAAGCCTCATCACCAAGTGCATTCAGTAGAGAAGCGACCTGATAGTTATGTGGGAAAGTAGCTAGATTGACCAATATTTCGTAGTTACTCCATTTCTGCTTGAATAACTTCCAAGTTTCATTAATATTGTCTCCTAGAATTAGAGGACCTGGGGTTTTTACGCCTGGTAAAGTCTTGAATCTAGCAGGGAGCTGTTCATTCTCGTTTTTTTCACCATCCGCCATTTTGATTACGAATTCACACGTGTTTTTACACAAAAATAGAATATTACTTTGTTATTAGGGAAGATAAAGACACTATTATGCATAGTACAATTCACTGTGTCCTCATAGTCATTTCAAGGCGAGAAACCCAATCCAACCACCATGTTGCGTGTGCATTAGGCACGATTTATATAGCAGGGCACTTCCAATCAACAACACTCATTGAGATTCAAGAGAGATAACTCCAGTTTATTACTGACCAATTGTACAAGCAATGTAATACTGAGTGAGGCACTCATAATATGACTTCACATAACAGTATGCATTCAAAGTATTGATCAGAAGTCCTGGACCATAAATATGATGTAGCTGTATCGCAAACACTAAAAAAAATAGGTCTAAAATTGATTGGGGTCTCGCCGCTTTTGCCAAAATTAGCCCAAGAGATTATTCTTCAGCTCATCACCTATGATCAGTTCTTGTAAGAAAAGTGTAAACAAATTTGATGCAATATTTGTCACTCAACTCAAAAACTTCATTGTTTCTGTTCCAGGCAATACTTTTCTAGATGGGTGATGGATTTTGTTTAATATCTTACTGCCGATTAGTGTGGCTGCTGTTTTGATAAATCTCATCTGGTTGAATCCGCCTTTCGTGAATTATCATAACATTCTCTCCCGATTCATCATTTAATCATTACGTCCTTTCACATTGTCTGCCCATAATAGATTTGCATGCTCTAAACTCAACCATTCCCAAGATATTAGAGTTTTAAGGTTTCCAAGGGCGGCCATATTGTATTTATACTAATTATTGGACTATGGCATTATGATGTCACATGGAATTAACTTGGCAATGTTTTTCTGATTCTTCGGTAGCACTTTCCTATCTACCCGTAATATATTTACACCCTCTGAACCATTCCCGATATATTGCAGTTTTAAGGTTCCAGTGGCGGCCATATTGGATTTATGCCAATTGTTGGACGTATGACGTTATGACGTCTTAGGGACGTCATGGGTAATGCTTTTTTGCTTCTTTGGTACCACTTTTATATCTACCCCTGATACATTTACACCCTATAAACTCAATCATTCCGGAGATATTGGAGTTTTATGGTGGCCAGGTATGTCATGGGTTATACTTTTTTGCTTCTTTGGTACCACTTTTATATCTACCCCTAATACATTCACACATAACCTCAAAGATTCCCGATATATTGAAGTTTTAAGGTGCCAATGGTGGCCATATTGGATTTATGCTAATTACTCGAAAACGTATCTTTTTATTTTGGACCATTTTTGTTTGGGAGACCTTCAGGGACCTCTCAACCAGGGCCAGGTTCCTAGAAAATTCTTAAAGAAAGCAAAAAGTCATGCTTCACTTTTTCTTACGTAAGAAACTTTATAAAATACTGTCTCTAGAAAATTCTCAAGACCATTCTTACGTAGGCACAAGTCAAGAATGAGTCAAAGCACATTGTGACTGGTAAATTGAGACTATGATGCTCTCTAACGTCATAAAAAAAATTCTGGTACGCAAATTACGTCATAAATTGGTCGGCTGCATAGAGAACGCCTGATCTTAAAGTAGCCCCTGTGTTTATTTACTAATTGGCAAATAAATAAAATGGTTTCAGGGTAGAAGCGAAATTTTCTATACAGCATTCTTCTCGAGAATATGTTTCTAAAGGATTTTCTGTCTTTTAATTGTCTCTTTGGCATCAAAAGATGTGTAGGAAATGCCGTCAAATTTCTCTACGGTCAGTCATCTTGTTTAAAGAAGAAACAGACTTAAGTTTGGTAAGCAAGCCGTACACCTTGCTTGGGACTTGTGCTTAGATTGACAATGTTTAAGAACAAAGTTGTGCTTAAGTATTTTCTTGGAACCCATAAGAGCGTGCTTGTGCTTACCACGAAGTCTACTTACAACCTATAAGCACAAGAATGTTCTTAATCATTTTCTGGGAACACAAAATAATTTAAGGTAAGTTTACTTATATGCAAAGTCTACTTAAAATCTAAGCACAAGAACATGCTTAGGAATTTTCTTGGAATCGGGCCCAGATACCGCCGAGATAAATCTGTTGCATTTTGTTCTAGGTATCAACTCCATATGGCTTAACTTTACCTGACTACATAGATTATTACAGGATCCATGATATTAGTAAACAAGCTGATTCTTGCTTAAAGATTATGGGAGATTCGATAAAGAGCTGGCAGTTCTCACTATAATAGTTAAAACCTAGATAATGTAAAGGGAATTTGCGAAAAATTTCAGTCAAATTGATCCACTCTGAACCAAGATTTTAGCGATTGAATTTTCGTTCTAGGGTCGATCATCATTACTAAAATCGGTACGATAAAAACATACCGGTAGTCTCGATTATCCATTTCATGATTAAATCTTGAGTGAAAGTTTAGCAGCAAATCGGATCCAATAAATATCGCAGGTATAGCATTGACATCGAGAGTTGATTATGATCTGGATAAGTTAATTAATGTTGAATTAATAATTTAAATAACATTTCAGGCCTAAAAAAAGAACTGCAATAGGCAGATTTAGCTCTTGCATAATGTATGTTTTATTTTGAAAACAAAAATCTAATTGTCTATAGAAATAATTAAACACATCAGATCAACCAAATACCATTTTTTATATCTCCTTTAATTAAATATATCTTAGATTAGATTATTGCATGTATTCATTAAACATACATTATGCAAGAGCTAAATCTGTCTATTGCAGGTCTTTCTTTAGGCCTGAAATGTTATCTAAATTATTAATTAGACATTAATTAACCTATCCGGACAATAATCAACTCTAGATGGCATTGCTAGCCTGCGATCTTTCGTGGATTATGAGCTGATTTACTGCATAACTTTCCTTCATGATTAAACGATTAAATGGATAATCGAGACTATGCTGTTTATCGTACTGACTTTAGTAATGATGATCGAGGCCAGGCGGAAATTTCAATCGCTTAGTTCTCGGTTCATATAGTGGATGAATTTGAATGAAATTTTCAGCAAATTGTCTTTACATTATCTAGTTTTTAACTATTATAGTGAGAACTGCCAACTCGTTATCGAATCTCCCATAATGTATCTTTAACATAATCTGTCAATTATAAATAAATGTATTAGAATGTATAAATCTGAATTAACCACCTTCTGTATAGATATCACTGACATTTAAAAAGGTTCAAAGGTTGAGTGATATATTAAAAGAGTATAAATGCACATAACCCTTCCCTCACAAATATTCTTGTACCCTTAATTTTTTGACAATGAATTTTTGAGAGGTCGCTCACTTTTTTGTTACACGGAGACACACTTTTATTTATCAACATATTTTGGTTGGCGGGTTGTCTATTATATACAGTATGTACATGTACATTGTATAAAACCACATATCTTGCCTTCATTACAATTGGCACTTTGCCAACTGTAGATATATGGAGTCCATATGACTTACAGGTGCGACAAACACCCGATATTTGTCATCGATCTCTTTAATTTTATTAACCACTTTCCACTTTTCTTTAAAAATGAATGAATAAACTGATATGTGTTAATTTTAAAAGATGCATTCGCCAAGACAATTGGGCATATTGGAATGCAAACGATGTGTCATCTTCGAACGCGAGCCTCCAATATCGATATACAAAACTTACGTGGCTTGACACACACACATCGTAGCTCTATTACTATTATTAAAAAAATATACAAACTTACCTGGGTTTAATGTTTGCGAATACGTCAATCCTAGAAATGCACAGACAAGCGAAAATAAACACGAACTGTAAACCCTCATTTTCTTTCTAAACGTAATCAGTTTGTAGAAACATAGCCAGGGAAACCCCACCTTCGCTCACACACTCCTACCTGCCGACGGCTTTATGAAGAATAGATACTTCCCTAGAACTATTATAGACGGGGCACACACACAGTGTCAGTTCATCGTCACCTTACTGGACTGCTCGGTATAAGGTATATTTAAACTACGGAAACCAGTTTGGGCAATTGGCCAAATCTTTTTTGAAATGAAATGAAATGGGGTTTAACGTCCTACTGTTCTGCTCCTAATCTGGGCTAATGAAGACGGGCATACGCCATACAGTGTGCTATGAGGGAAATTTTGCCCGGGCAGCGGCACTATCGCTTACTCTTATATCGAATTCCAACTGCCAGGGGATCTTTTACATGCATTCCAATATAATACACGGGACCTCGGTTCTTCGTCTCATCCGAAGGACTAGACAGCTGTACTTGTCAGGCCCTCCATTCTGCACCACTGACAAGGGGAAACCACGTCGGAAAAAATCTTTTTTGAATAGCGCTTTGGTTTTGTTTTGGGTGATAGATTAAAAGATATTTTGAGTGAAAATTCTTTGAATAAGGCGCATCAGGCTGATCAGGTCAATTGATTAGGATTATAAATGTTGGGCGCATACTTCACCCCTCGGCTAGATTGCAATCTGTGCTGCCGTGTTGCGCAGAGTCCCCTCTGTCAATGTTCATTTCTTGAGCGCCAAATCCATCCATAAGCATGCTCAAAGCGCTTTTAAGAGATACATCGTCAAAAGTGAAAATGGACATTTTTGATTTTTGTCTTAATAATGGGTAATTGCTCCACCAATCGTCAGACCTTCAGCAAGTCTTCGTGGCATGCTCCTAATCAACCATCCAATCACGATTTGAGGCAATCTGACCCACTCCTCTTGCAGTGCCACGGCCAATTCTTGCAGTGTTGTCGATCAAATTAAACGTAACACACTAAAGCAAAGATACGCTAAACAGTAAATCTTATGCAAGAACTGATAGAAAAGCAGACATGGATAGATAAACCAGCATGTGGTAGTTTTCATCAACCCTTACTTGAAGTGTCAAATTTGACAATGAACCCCTCCCACGTGTATGGCGCTATTGCGTGTCGCTTGTGCAGTTCAGTGGTGCTGTTGGAACGATAAGTTCTTCATCTGTGAACATACTCTCAAAGCATGTCAAGTGTCCATGACTATTTATCATATCACTACCTGCATATAGGTATTTGCATACAATTATACAGCTTAATACATCGGTTGAGACGTGTTCGGTCATAAGTATCTCAAGCGCTTGACTTAGTATCTCGAGATATTATTTTTTTTAGCTTGTCCTAAATCAGCCACCGTATAAAGCTTCTAAATCCGAACTGTTTGAGTGTTTTAATTTTGATGGTGGAATGTATGGTGGTTTGTTAGTGCCATACACTGATTTATACCTTTTTCGTGAAATTTACCTCATATGAGAAATCGCAGTGAAAACTGTGATAAATAAAAAAACATGAAAAACCTTTCCACCGCGGTGTAAATATTTTCTCCGTGGTGGAAAGTTTTTTATGGTTTTGTGATCAAAAGTGTCTGTCGCTTAATGTTAATTGACGACCTCGGAAAGGGACAGAAAGTAACACCGATCATATAATCTTTATGCTTATACCTACGATTGCTGTTACAAATTCCTCACAAATATCGTTTAGTCCGCATTGTTACTAATGTTACTTATTTACATTAGTTTTTATGATAACAACAGAGAACAGCGGTGTTTGGCCCCGAGTTACTTTCCGCTTGTAATAACCCATTTGACGTCATTCCAGAGAAGGCCATGCGATATGCGAAGAAAGTTTTAAAATTATAGGCCTACTTCATAAGGATTATAGAACACATCTAGTACACATAGACCTAAAGCAATAAGGCTAATGGCAATAGTTTGAATCCATGTTAGTCTGGTGTCTAAAGGGGGGGTGGGGGAATAGTCACCCGAGCTGTGAATTTATGAGACCCAAGTTTTTCTAGTCCAGTTTTTTTGTGTGGATTCCGAATCTGGGTGGAGATCAGGTGTTTGAGGGAAATTTTGCCCGGACAGCGGCACTACGGCCTACTCTTATATCGAATTCCAACTGCCAAGGGATCTTTTACGTGCACGCCAATGTGTACACGGGACCTCGGTTTTTCGTCCCATCCGAATGACTAGACAGCTTTCCTTGTCAGCCCCTCCGACCTGCATCACTGACATATTTTGTCTAATTTGGAGCTATGTTTAAAGTGTAATGATATTGTTATGCAGTTAGCTATTGGTTGTTAATATTGTTAATTTGGAACAGAAATTTGCTTCCATTATAGCAGTATTAAGTGGGATTAGCTCACTGCCAGGAAAACACTGCGAGGAGTATTGCAGGGCTCAAAATTCGGTGATCTGTATCTAAGGCCATTTTTTGAAAAATTGCTGTAGACAGCAAAGCCTCTTTAAGACCATTTTGTTCAACACCAAAGTCATTTTTACAAATTTGCGATTATCGAAGGCCATTTTTATACGCCCACATTGAAATGTGGTTGTATATTGTCGCCGCCCCCGTCCGTCCGGCATCCACAATTGCTTGTGGACGCTCTAGAGGCTACAGTTAATATCCGATTGACTTTAAATTTATACACAGTGTTTAAGGTCATGAGATGAAGAAGTCTATTGATTTTCAACGATTTCCAATAATTACACAGAGTTATGGCTCTTGATCACTTTGAAAAATCTTGTGGACGCTCTAGAGGCTCAAGTTAATATCCAATTGACTTTGAATTTATACCATGTTTAAGGTCATGAGATGAAGAAGCCTATTGATTTTCAGCGATTTCCAATAATTACTGCCAGAGTTATGGCTCTTGATCACTTTGAAAAAGCTTGTGGATGCTCGAGAGGCTAAAGCTAATGTCTGATTGACTTTAAATTTATACACAGTGTTTAAGGTCATCAGACGAAGAAGTCTATTCATTTTCAGCTATTTTCGATAATTACTGCCAGAGTTATGGCTCTTGATCACTTTGAAAAATCTTGTGGACGCTCTAGAGGCTAAAGTTAATATCCGGAATTGACTTTAAATTTATACACAGTGTTTAAGGTCATGAGACGAAGAAGCCTATAATGATAATTACTGCCAGAATTATGGCCCTTGATCACTTCAAAAAATTTTGTGGACGCTCTAGAGGCTAAAGTTAATATCCGATTGACTTTAAATGTATACACAGCGTTTGAGTTCATGAGACGAAGAATCATATTGATTTTCAATGATTTCCAATTATTACTGCCAAAGTTATGGCCCTTGATCACTTTAAAAAATCTTGTGATGCTCTAGAGACTAAAGTTATCATCCGATTGATTTCAGATTGATACACAGAGTTTATGGTCTTGAGACGAACAAGTATATTGATTTTCAATGAATTTTGATAACTTGAACAGCTAAATCCATGATATTAAATGTTCTGTATACTGAACATTAGCATGGGGCAGAACTTTATAAAAACCAAACAAATTCTAATGGTTTTCTGATAAATACTTAATGAGCTGTTACTCTTAATCAGATTTTAATGTATTATAAATGTTTCATTACCGAAAAAAGTAAAAATATGCGACAACTCATGTTGACTGCCATGACGATTTAGCTGCTGTGGGCGTATGTTTCGTTGCCTGGCAACCTATCTTTTAAAATCTGTTGAAAACTTAAACTTCAATAATGCAATATTTTGTGAATTGTTGTATACAGGCAGACTTGGAAAAGAAGAAGGGCCCATCTATTCATTTTATTTTGCATTTTTTAATGACACTCACCCTAAAACGTCTGCTATTTATGTTATGCTACTTGCGGATTTTGCGCACATATGGTCTACTTGACAACTCCATTCTCTTCCGCCAAGTGACGTCGTCTGCTAAATATAGCGCTTGACTCGCACGCTATCGTCTATAGATAACAAAACTACTTACACTATATTCCAATCAAAATAATTGCTGACATTTCTAAATATTTTTAGCTTGTGTATTTCTTTATTTAAAAACATCGCCCCCATTCAAAATATAATCATAAACCCTAGAAAATGCCATCAAAATAGAATCTTTTCTCTGACATTTGTGCTTGTCAAAATTTTCACATTTCCATCTCATAATTTGTCGCGTCTCAACTCTCAAGAGATCTCTACTTTGGGTTACCAATCATACAAATTCTGCTTTGATAATTTGTTCTATTTTTAGCAACGTTAATCTTAAAACCAGAACACGAACAGTCGTGCTTTAAAAGACAATTATCATGGGAGGTATTGAGCTAGCCTAGTTTTACGGAAAAAACACATCTCACACAATATGAATTTGGCTTCTGATATGAGTGCTATCGACGGCAATTTAAGTTTTTTCTACAGCCAATGGCTGTCGTATTTTCTTCCGAAATTTATGACAGCAATTTTCGACACCCATTCCCATGTTTACGACAGTAATGGCCGTGATGGCTTTCATGAATTTTGAGCCCTGATTATTGGTTATTTCAGTCTACACCAAAAGCCAATAGTATTTATTGCCCATTCTCTCCAGATAAGTATACATGTATGGCGTCACCGTTTGACATGACTTGTGGAATATATCTAGCCTCTTTCTTTGAGTCTCTTTTTACAAATGGCGCTAAAATGCATTATGGTAGTAATGGTACACGATTCGTGTACCAATGGTAAAATGTTTATATTTTGTCCTAAATATTGGATATCAGAAGCCCATCTTTTCCCAGTAAGATCACAACATCAATGTTGATTTAAATTGACAAATAATTTGTGTTTTCAATGTTGAAGACTTTGGCTGATATTGAGAATGAGATAGACTTAGCTAATTTAAATTGTATATTCAGGATGTTGTGCATTTTTTTCCACTGGTTTCCATACAGCAAACTAAATGCATTTATAGTATTGTTACTGTTTTTATTATTTTCAAATTGTTCTTTAATTTTTCATAATTGAAACAAATTTAAACAAACTGAATTGAAGATGGCTAAGATTAAGGAAAAACACTTTTGCACTCCCAACATGCTACGCAGCAGAAGAAAAACCAAACAATACCCATGATAAATAGATATTTGCAAGCCACCTAACTGAGTAAATGTATCTTTTTATAGACATGAATGGTATTTATTTCTGAAATAAATTAATAATAATCTAAAACGTAAATAATAATATGTTTTGAAGACTTTCATTTTTTTTGATAACAAACACAAAAATAATTTAGAATAATGTAAAATATTATTACATTATAAAGAAGTACTAGTGTAGATAGATCTACACATATTGTAACGTAAGGTTGAATAGTTTTATGTTCTCACATATATAGTTTTTATTTAATTATAAGCTAAGACATGTCACATGGCTGGCATTTTCTGTCTTCGCTTCACATCCCAATTATAAACACGGGCCATGTTGACTTCAAGGGTTGTTGTCTGGTCACGCAAAAAACTGAGATCATCATCAACTTGTCCAAGGGTCTTTTTTGCAGTTCCAAGGTTTTTCTCCAACAATGTTTGGGCATCATCTAAATTGTATTCTAACATGACATTTGCTCCCAACCACAAACATACTTTATCAGTTGGGGGTATTCTTGCCTTGGCATATACTTGATCAGATAACAAGAATCTCGTTTCTAACGGATCGGGGATATCTTTTCTCTCTTGTAAATGTTTTACAATGTCCAACGAAGTTTTAATGTCAGGAATTTGAGTTTTGAGTCTTGTTTTCTTCGTATTCAAATTGTACTCCATGAACTTATATTTATTATGACGCTCATCTAATTTACGTAGTACTCCTTCCGCAGATTCGTTGTCGGGTTTCTGCATGAACTCCTCAACATTATCCACAAAATCAGACTCTGGAATACCAGAATGATTAGTTGTTGCAGCAAATTTGGTAGAATCCGACGCCATTCTTGATTTAGACTTTGCTGAAACGATCGGTCTAACGAGACGTGCGCCGTTTGTGTCGCAGTTTATCGGCGATTCTTTTGGATAAGTCAAGCTCTCCAATATTTTTACACCGGTGTGACCATCTGTGGCAATCTGTTTCACAGAGAATTACGAGTCTCGTATAATATCTCTGTCATAGATGACTGCCTTAACACGTGCTGTCACAGCACGCGGTGTGAATCATTGGCTGAATGGCACGTGCATTGTTTACATAAGACATAACTGCTTCGGAGAGAATGCTGCATTTTAGTCATTTTAATACCCATTTACACTAAATCGGAAATAATTTTTACCTACAAATACGTCAAACGCCTTTATTTATTTTTCCAATATATACAAAAAATGTTTTAGAATTTAATTTGTGGCAGGAAAATAGTTAATATTTCTAGCTCATTAAGCCGCATCAATGTCATCCTTATCAGTGATTGTCGCGGCCAAGCAAATATTCACTGCGGATCAGTGTGCATCTGTGGGTGTGACAGCCCAATCTGTTTTACAGACCTAATGCGACATCCGTCTTTTATCTCTGTCCAAGATGACTGACCTTTAAAAGGTCAGACCGCTGTAGTTCTAAGGGTGACGTCACATCACACTGTTTACCAACAAAGCAAGATGGCATCGATAACGCCAAAAAAGATTACTTCTGTGGCTTGTTTTTGTTGTTTTAAAACAAACACGAGCAGGTCAATCAGATTAGACGGTAAAAAATGTACTTCTGAAAGAATTCGGAGTAAACAAACAGAAAAAAACGTCAAATTGATGGTCACACGTGCGTTGTTTACATCGAACGTAGTAATATGAACTGGTACGGGCAGAATTATATCGTTTTACCCATTTTACGCCTCCGCGTACTATTTTCTGTACCTATTTACGCTAAAGATGGAATATTTTTTATCAAGATATACTTCAAACACTTTTATTTATTTTTCTAATACTAAAAAAAATGTTTCAGAATTTAATTTGTCGAAAGAAAAAAGTTAATATTTTGTAGTCATTAAGTCGCATCGATGTCATCCTTATCAGTGATTGTAGCGGCCAAGCGAATATTCACTGCGGATCAGTGTGGTGACAGCCCCGCTGTATGTAGTCTCGGTCACCCAGAACCTCCTAGTGTTCGATCAGTTGTCTGGGACCGTTGTCAATATTTGACGTAAAGTCCATTGCCCATGCGTAACCAGGAGTTTGGTAATGCAATTCCCGGTCCATGGGCCTTTTGTGCTAAAATTTAAAAATCTTTCTTATTAGAGGTAGTAATTGAGTTCTGTGAAAAAATTAGGCAAGTTGCAAACAAACTACATAGAAAACACTCATAATTTGGATTTTTTTTCAAAAAAATAATTTTTTACTGCCATGTCATGAAAATGTACAAAATTTACATGTAGCATCTTTCAAAATACCAATAAATTTCCACTTTTGTAATATCCAGACTGACAAGAAATATATATTTAGAATCTGTGGACAATATGCAAACAGAAAAATTGCAAATCAGTTGCATTGATTGTAATATTAGAGATTTATACTGAAACATGTATGCCTACCCCCTGAACATGCCACAGGTTGAATCAATTTAATCTTTGGTTGCAGAACTAACATTATCAAAGGAATCTGTCTAACAGCTATGTTTTACCATCCCTGGCTAACATATGTGCATAGAAACTAAAATAGGTGCAATAAATATGAATTATGGTTTAAAATAGGCCTTGATGAATGAAAAAAAATGCAATATTTAGACTATGCCATGATCACTGCTCTCTAACAAAAGGGTCACAGAATACACATTTTTCACAAATTTGGGAATATTTCAATGTTTCCAACATCTCAAACCTCAGAGGATGCATACAAATTTTTACTGCAATCCTTGTGCTGAAGCAAGATGTCTGGACCTTTACATCAATTTCCTGAAAAAATGAAGTAAAAAAAAAGTGGTTATGACAAAATTGACAACAAAAGGAGGCTCGAAAAGAAGCAAAATTTACATTTTATTGTTCTATAAGCAACATAAATGCAACAAACACCAAAAATCCTAGATTTTGATAAGAAAAAAATATTGAACATTAAACTGACATTTACAGATCTACACCAGTTTTTACCAGGGTGTGGTCTCATTGGCCTGACATGTCTTATGGTTCTAAGTTTGACTTTAAATAAAAAAGGTTAGAAATCCTTGAAATGTACAAAATAACCATTTCTTGGTGCAAAATAACATACCTAGTATCAATTCAACCACAAATTCCAATTAAGATCATTTAGTTGTCAACAAAGGTGCAATTAAATCTCTCAAAACACATTAATAAAAAAGGGTGGGGTGGGGCATTTATAGCCTCTCTAAACAGAATGATGGAGTAAAAAATGTCTAGAAAGACTGGGATATTGCTTCCTACATGAAGGAAATGCAAGAATTTAATGTTTCTAAAAAGAAAAAAATGCTTATTCTGGGTAAAATAATGGCAAAATTGAGCCAACCCCTGTTTTCAACATTTTGTACAAACCCATCTGCTGTACATTATTAACTGAGTGTGACCAAATCTCAATTTTCTGTAGGAAAGCTGGAGCTATTTCTAAACCTGATAAACTTATAGATCCCATCTAAGTTATATTAGCAATGAAAATAAGGGCATTTTTAGACATTTTGACTAATTTGAGTAGTCATGAAAGCATTAATTTCTTCATCGAAATGGGAGAATCTGGAGATTTTCTGTGAATATTCCTGATTTTTAGACAAAATTAGGTGAAATTACAATACTGTTCACTTTGTCTGTGCTTTCTGAGGCTGAATAAGCCATAATTGGACATTAAAATATTTTTCTTACTGTTAGAAATTAAATAAAAACTGAAAATTTAGAAATTTGCAGTAAAATCACAATTTTTCGCCAAAATTCGATATTTTTTTTAAGATTTAACATTTTTTTTTAGTTTTTCTGTACTCAAAATATTTTATACATATTTTCTGATAATTTAGTCTTCATATTTTCAACACTGAGGCATGTCAGTCAGTCACAGCCTTGTTATACAAAGGTTGGTTACGTTGAAATGTAGGGCCGGAAATTGCATGTTTACTTGTCTCTACTTCAAGCTTGCGTATCTCAAGTTTTACATGGTGAACCTCATACATGCTTTTTGGGCAAGAGTTTGCCACATGTTGCTCCATCTGTGACAGAAAGCGTTCTACCCAACGAAAATTTGGGAAAAAGCTCTATCTATGAGGTAAATTTTGCACAGTCCGGCAGAACTATGGCTGAACCTGGAAATTGTATACAAAGTTTTTTTTATGACTGATTTTAGTAGCCTAGGGTGTCCTCTTTCAGAATCTGTCGGGTGAACCTCGCTCACCCTTGAGCGTTTTGAGAAATTTAAGATGGCGTCCAAGATGGCTGCCATTTCAAATAATCCCCTATAACTCCCATAGTATTTAAACTAGGATGATAATTTTGGTGTCTAACCGTATGTTTTCGGGGTCAAGGAATACTCTGAAAGCATTCATTATGTTGTGGAGTGATTAGATGATAGTAAAATCCAAAATGGCGGCTAATATGGCCCCTTAACCATTTAGCGGCGATTGGGAGCGATTATTTCACCAAACCTAGCTATATCTAGAGAGAAGCTAATGACTCCCAAAAATAGGTAATATTCAGTTTAACCCTTTAGTCGTGTTTCCGGCTGCAACCTGCGACGCACAAGCGCAAAATACTGTACATTTTAAGCCATCCCTAGTGCAGCTACAAGCACGCGTACTACATGGGTTGTCACTCTTGCATCCGTATCTGATGAGCCGCATGACAGACTCCGGAGTAAGTTGATTATCAACTGGAAGGGTGACTGGTTGTAATGTTTTCAATTTAGTGTCCTTCACCCAGCCATACAGTTCCGGATCAAGTTCAGGCGGATTATGATCTTCCAATGAACGCCACACAATAGCATGGTGATGAGCTCTTTTTACATTCTCTGCAAATGCATCATTTGTTGGAGCAAGACTACACAGTTTAGGTGGGCATGATGACGATACATTTCCAGTTTTGGATGCCCATACCCTCCAGCGTGTTTCAGACATCGATTTGCTAGAGCTCTGCCCATAAAACGCTGACATAAATGATGTGGCTTGTGTAATCACCGATTCTATTGGAGAGTCTACTACCCCGAGGAATGAGAGAGAATACAATCCAGCTCTCATCACTTTCAATGCTGGTCCTTTCCCCACACCGCAGCAGCATGCAACCGTGTCACATCCAGTAAGAGCATGAGCTGGCAGGATTTCAGTGATAATGGATGCGTGTTTCTCCATAGTTTTACCAATGTCAATAGTTGTTCTTTCCTTGATTGGTGATTCCATTGTAACGCGATTCTTCATGTTGACTATGTGGTAGAGAAGAACGGAGACATCGGTATCGTCTGATATTACGGCTATGTCAGCGTGTTGATCACTTTGGGCACACATCATCACCTGCTGAACAATGATGATGTCTGCTTCTTCATGTGTTGTTCGAAGTTCTGTCCTGGTTATATATAACTATACCACCATTGCTAATCTCAACCGGGACAGCGTCCGCACCTATTACTACCAATTTATGGTTCCTGGTGTATTCATGATGGAATGATTCATCTTCAATTACCCCCCCCCCCCGGTTCCCTTCAAATTTAATCTTTTTCCAAGGTATGTATATATAAGTGTGCCAGAAAATTATTTACATATTTAAAAAGATCAAAGAACAGAACGTACTTTTAAGTGATTGGTGTATTTTCGTATTAAGACCCGTATTTTTTACTTTAAATACCCCTACCCTCGTCATTTAATAGGGTTTGTACCACCCTACTTTGATCGTTTTTAAAGATAAGTAAATATGAATGTGCCAGACAATTATTTACATATTTGAAGAGAGCAACGAACAAGCTTTTCAGTGATATTATAATTTACTGAATTAAGTTATACTGTACGGATTAGCACGACGTATCAGTAAGTAAGTATGAATGCACCAGAAAATTATTTACATATTTGAAGAGAGCAATGAACAAGCGTTACAGTTATATGTAACATCATGACTGAAATTAGG